TCTTTCCAGGTTAATCTAGCTCAGTCACAGGTACCTATTATTGGCTTCCAAAGCACCCATGCACATCTCCTTTAAAGTACTTGCTCAATATGTTTTGTGTACTTATTTGTGTAACTATCTGTCTTCCCTACTAGACCATCATTTTATGGAAGCAGAAAACAGGTCTGTTCTTGCCACTACCAAACCCACAAAACACAGGCATTGGCATAAAGCAGATGCCTAATAAATATGTTAAATTATTTAACTGAAACATATGGATTCACAATATACCTTGCATTTTCTCTGCACAACAAAGATAGCTATAATTTTGTATGCAAATCATCACTTTTGGAATAAGAAAAGCCTAAATGGCATTATCTTCAGAAACACACCACAGCAAAATTCAGGGGAGCTAGCCAATTTTTAAATCATAATATGAATAATAGCTTCTGACTCAGGACAAAAAAAAAAGTACTAGAATGACTGAACATTAAATATGCACTCATTCCGGGTGTGGTGTTTTAGGTAGAGCCCAGGTGATTCTCATACACTACACAAATTAGATCCACCAATATGCTGTGCTGTGGAGTTTCATTTTTTTTCTTTTGGATATGAACATGTGCCATATTGTAACATGTAGGTATCTTTCATTTACTCACTAAAGTTTATCTTTTCAAAACCTAAACTGAATTTTTGCTTTTCTCTTTAAAATTATCAGCATTCTACATGAAAGCCATATCTGACACCAGTGATACTGTACAGGATAAAACGAGTTACTTTGACTGATCTCTCAATGTCATTATGATTATTCCACCACTTTGATGTAAAGTAATGGTGCTCTCAGGAGCTACTGATTCCAAAGTAAAGTTTTCAAAGTACTGTGCTTTTTAATTCTTTTGCTTTCTTTTCATAATTATTATTGGATCCTCTCTGGTTGCTTCTCAGATACCAAGCTCTGAAACTGTAACAACCTTGGCCAAGTGCAGCATTAAATAGAAGATTCCCCCCAAAAAGCACCTGCTACTGGCCATCTACAGTAAAACATTCACTGCTAACACCCAAAAGTTAAAAAAAAAAATGAATGCATGTTCGTCTATGTTTAGGATATTGCAACCTTGCTTTCTCTGATAGCCTTTTCTCACCAAGCTCCTTGTAATTCAGCACATCCTATCAGTTCTTAAGCTTATATTTGTCTCCCATTTGATGGTATTCTGGTGGATACCCCAAATGAAGTGTAAATGTCACAGAGCTTAGCTATGAAGTATCCTATATGACAATACACTCATAGCATATACCTCCCTTGCTATCTCTCTTTGTCTGTTCATGGATTTCCCAGTGTTCTTTTAGGCCCTGAACCATGGGATGTGATACTTGATAATTATTCTTACCTCCATTTTTAAGAGTTCAGCATGGGTTTACTTCCCAAAAACTTTAAAGTCCTATTTACAATCTAGCACCCCCAAGATGCATCACAGCTGGCCTTTGACTGACTCTGTGACCAACTCCTCCAGCCAATTTCTCTTATAATCTCCTTTTATTTCTCCCAACCTTGTTAGACCTAACCTCTTTTACTGATTATACTTTCAGAGGTCAGATACATATAGAGTATGGTATGGGGAGGTAGTAGATAAGATAGTAACTCCCCCCCCCCAAATGTATTACAATTACAATTCTAGATACAAAAAAATCACTTAAAAAAACTTACTGAGTTTGCACATATGTCAAACATTGAGCTAAAGAGCTTACAAACATTACCTGATATAATCCACATAACAATTACATAAGTACCCTCGTTTTATAAAGGCAGAGCTTGGAAAAAAAATATATTGCAGAGCTTGGAAAAAATACTCAAATGCAAGCAGTTTGACTCCCAAGCCTGGGTTCTTAAACATTAAGCCATATTGTATTCCTAGTGAATCAAAGTAATGTTAATCACAGTGACAAAAGTCACTACCAGTCTTCTGATCCCTAATACAATGATTTTATATCAGACTGGATATATTGTCCTGGTGAACTGTATTTTTTGGTTAAACTTGTGGTAAAGAGTAATAACTTGGTAGCTATTTGCATTAATAAGTACATTTAAGTTCCTCTGGTTAAACCATCTCTTAGTTTTTATCACTGTAACAGAATCTGCTTCTCCCTTAACAGGAACCATGATTTTGTTTAGACAGCAATTGAGCCCAGACCTAAGAGATACACAATGGTCATAATTATTGGTATAAACCAATCATGAAAATCTAACAGTCCTTTTGTCAGTCATTGTCTAGGGCTGAGTGGATGAAGCAGTTCAGACAAATGGAGTAGTAGGGTTTCTGGAAAAAGATTTTTCTCTCTTATTAAAAAAAAGAATATAGAAAAAGATGTTGCATTCAGGATCCCTTTCTTCTTTCCTGGTTGAGACCCTAACTGTATGAGAACATAATGATAAAAACTGAAATAGCCATCCTAGAGAGACAAGGATGGAAAGAGCCAGAAATAATTGCTTATTATTTTCAGTATCAATAGAATTTGTTTTACTATTCTGTACAGCGCAAATTCATCCCAATGAAAGAGTAAAAATATAATCAGTTAGTTCTGGAACTCAGCAATACAGAAGGAATGCCAAAAGTAGAATTCAAACTCTGGGTTCTGGAAGAGCTTGGACACTTTCGAGCTCTATGAACTTTAGTATTCTCACTTCATATGGCAGACATTACTAATGTTCCCCAAATCTGGAACACACACACACACACACACACACACACACACTTTCCAGTTCTTTATACAATTAGACTCATTTGTAGGCTGAAGCAGTCAAAAACCCGTGTATTCCTTAGTCTCTCTTGCCAAGCTCTGACAACTGTGAAGGGCTTATGTTGAAATGGCAAAACCTCTGAGGTAAACAGATCATTTTAAAGATATTGGAAATGATGAGAGGCTAAGTCTTTTAATCAAGGTAACACAGGTTATGATGAGGTAACAATCTCAATCTCAATGGCTTAATGCAATCAGTTTATTTCTCCATTATGAAAATTCAGCTACAGGCTTGGACTGTCCTCCAGGACAGCTGTCCTCCATGTGGTATCTCAGCAATTTGACTGGCCTTAACCCTATGGATTTTTGTTTATTTGTTTTTTAATATATTTTTATTGATTTCAGAGAAGAAGGGAGAAAGAGAGAGAGAGAGAGAGAGAGAGAGAGAGAGAGAGAGAAACATCAAAGCTGAGAGAGAATCATTGATCGGCTGCCTCCTGCACACCCCGCAGTGAGGATCAAGCCTGCAACCCCCGCATGTGCACTGACTGGAATTAAATGTAACTTCTGGCTCATAGGTTGATGCTCAACCACTGAGCCACCCCGGCTGGGCTTAACCCTACGGTTTTGCTTAAAAAATAATAATGACCATCTAAGGGTAATCTTTTCTCTTTTTTAAGACTTTATTGTGAGAAAAAATGCCCTACAGAGAAAGAAACTCTAATTGGTATTAAGTAAGATCTTCATATTGCTTTGTTCTACCAATAAGAATAAAGCTTGACTGATGCTAACAATGTCTGGACAATGTTCAGAACCCATATACTTTTTGCTTCCAGAATACAGGATGAAAACTACTCATTTCGGTGAATGCCCATTTTGGACTCCCACAAATTTCCAAATCTTCACCACCTACCTGTATAGCAAAATATAGAATTCACTAAGAACACTCACTCATTAGGCAACTACTTATGCAGAGCCTACATAATGTTGTACATAATGTTCAGGACTGAGTATTTAGCAGGGAATAAGACAGACAATGAGCGTCTTCTCATAGAGATTATATATTCATTTTAGGCAGCCTACTAGGGTTCCTATTCCCTTGCATATATATTTTTCAATTTCTACAGAGAGAATCTAATTGTTGTTTGGAATACTTCCAGACTCAAAGTGGAAGTTATTTCTAGTCACATATTCAATATAACTGAATTAGATGAAAACAAAACAATTTGGAAGTTTAATGGGCTTTAAGTATTTTGTAAGTAAAATATTTTCAATGCTACCTCCTATCAGTTAAAGAAATTATGATTTATCCTCCCCTCCTTGGCAAAACCAACTAATGCTGGTGTGCTGTCGGACATACTGTGGAAGTGGGGTCCACAACGGGAATTCACCGAAATGAGTAGTTTCCATCCTGTAATCTGCAAGCAAACAGTATATGAGTGCTGAACACTGTCCAGTCATTGTTAGCATCAGTCAAGCTTTGGCCATCATGTAGACAACTAAATTTAGGATTTAGACTGGATGAATGCAATAGATACAGGTTAAAGAGTTCAGTTTTTCTTAGGTATAGTTCAGAATTGGGCGGTTAACACGTGTGAGTTATCTAATAGAATCGGACTGAAAAGACTGTACCCTTCCAAGCTTTACAGATATAAAAATAGAAAAATCAATGGCAATAAACATTTATATGTAAGGGGTGGTCAAAATTAGGTTTACAGTTGTGAATACGCAAAATCATACAAAAACTGTAAACCTACTTTTTGCCAACCCATATATAAATAAGGTAGAAGCAAAATGAAAAGGGTGATCCCCCAAATCCCCCAAAAGTTATCATCCAGCCCATAATTTATAAGAAACATAATACACAGGGTACTCTGTATCTACTCATATAAACACTGATTATTATTCCTATTAAGTGGCAATATTGTACAAATACAAAAGCTACTAAATAGGAATCCCGCCCTTAAGTAGTTTGCGTTCTAATAGGCAAAAGGACAAAGAGAGATTAAAATATATTGTGGCTGAGTACAAGATTACTCCCTCTTCAGGGAAAGTTTGCCCTTTGAGGCAAGGCAAAGCGCTTTGGAGGTGGGGTGCTAACTTATAAATAAAAGGGAGCAACTACTTGGTGGTTTAGATCCTCCCAAAGGCACCAGAAGCTTTTAAGACCGTCATTTTCACATCTCTCTCACTCAGGCAGGCCCCCCTGAGAGTGGGCCACGCCAGGCCACTGACAGCTGCATCGCTGGAAGGTCACCAGGCAGCTCATCAAGGCTGCGCCTCACCTGACAGTCCTGACGACGAAGTACACCAGCACCGCGCCGCTCACCACCATCAGTACGGTCAGGGCCCGCTGGGTCATGGGCTTTTCGCCTGGGTTGGGGCTCACAGCGAGGACGCCACCCACGGAGCCTTCTTCCCCCGCCTTCCCCGCTGGGTCATCCGCTGCCAGCGCCGCCCCGGGGCTGCTGCCATTGCCGCCTTCTGCACCCCGCGGCCTCGCGGCTTCAGCCGGAGCGCGGCCCGGGGCCTGGGCGGCGGTGGGGCCGGGCGGCAGGGGGGACAGCGTCCGCGGCCCGTGATCGGGAGGTCCTGAGTCCGGAGCGGCCTCGGCCGCCTGCAGCAGCACCGCCAGGGGCCCCCTTAACCCTGGCAGGAGCAGCAACAGCAGGAGGGCGGAAGCCAGGAGGCGGCCGAGGCAGCAGCTGCGGTGCAGGGCCCTCATAGTCCCCGACCAGCCTCTCACCACGCCGGAGCCGCCGGGACCGCCGCTCTGGCTCCCGGAGGGACCATGGGCGCAACGGAGAACGGGGCGGCAGTGACCAAATCCCGGGGAGAGGCGCGGCCGCGGCAGGTGGCACCGGCGACAGCAGTTGCAGGGGCGGCGGAGGCCGGGAAACCGGAAGTTCGCACATCTCAGCAGCCACTGCTACTAAGGACGCGCTCGGTTGCTAACTCGTCGGGGCCGGCGCGTCCAGTGACGTCAGGGGCGCGGTGCCTCCGCGCACGTGTCCTGCCTGTCGGCGAGGGGTCTGGCCCTATGCTTAGGTCCTAAGTAAAAAAGTCAACAAAAGAAAAGTGTTGAGCGATTCTTTGCATAAGGAGACCATGGGAGACTGCGAGCTCATAGTTTGAGTTCCTTGGTGCGGAGCTGCAGGTGCACAGCCAACCAATGATTAAGGCCTTGAGGTTCCTCTCCGCTCAGGTACAACTTTGAGAAGTCTCTTCCCGTCTCTAGGTCCTGACCTTCCTTTCCTGAGAGCATTTACTTTAGAAAACTTGTAATTGCAAATTCATTCTCTGCCCTTCTCAGATACACATCTTTTTAAAAGCTTTTGGCTTTTGTCAGTTGTGCAACCCAGGACTGTCTTAAGGACCCGGGAGCCATCTTTTGAAATGTAATCAACCAAGAAGATAACACCCCTCTCTTCCAGTCTGTGGAAAGGTAGGAGCCTAACCTAGGCAGGCGCCTTGTTTCAAGTTGTAGAACTACCTCCTGTCATGAAGCTAAGAGAAAGAGTTAACTTTTCCTTTGTATAAGGCCAATTTGTAAACATAAGGGGCCTATGATGCCCCCTTCTTCAACTTTTAAAATCTCTTCAGCTCTTTGTTTCTGGGTAGTGAGCTCAGAGGTTGGAGAGGATACACTAGTATTGAGACCTCAAACTGCAAACAGACAATGGAGGTGGAAGGCCCCTCTGTGAAGAGGAAAGATTCTGAGCCCCTCCAGGATGTGGTCTAACTGGGGACATGACAACTAGGTGAAGGAACCCTATGGCTTAAAGATACATTTTTCTGAGACACAAGGGAAGGGGTGACTTGCTCCTTGCCTAGGGACGTACCCGCCTAAGTGGTATAAATCCTCTAAACTCCCAAATATCGGGGCACTTGGTTTGGTTTTGGCCGGCTAAGTTGTCCACTCAGGTCCCGAGTGTATTTATTTCCTAGAAAAAAATCCTCACCTGCTTTTGCTGCCATTTGTTTGAATTCATTCCTACCAGCAAGACAAGAACTGGGGGTACAGAGTACTGTCTCTGGCCAGGGGCTATTTCTGACCAGACACCACCCCAACCACCACTGACATTACAATAATCTGGAATAATGTCTTCCTTACCTGTTTAAGTTTGACATTAACATGGAACTTTGGCTTGAGCAGATACTAACAAACAACAACAACAAACCTGGCCAGAAGCCAAAGTTAATATTTGCTCTTTTCTTAAAAAACTTATACTCAAGAAATTGTTTAGAATTTCTGCTTGCATAGCACTGTGCTAAATTATGAGTGTAGAGAATAGACAAATATGACCCTTGCTCTCATCGCACTTAGGTTCAAATGGAAGTAACAAAATGAACAATTGGACTCGTTCTGAATGCTGAAATATGTGCTATAAATGACAAGTGCAGATCTAGAGTAAAAAATTTTATAAAGGACTGTTGTAGGTGGTGTGGACAGGATAGTGTCTTTAGCTGCTTGGGGATAGCAGATTAATGTAATTGCTTCTGGCTGGTGGAATTGAAGGTACTAGGCATCTTAATGCTGGTTTTCTGTGTGAGCAAGACCATTATGACACACCCTAATTTTAGCTTCCAGCCTGGCATTTATCAACAATAACGTCGCTCTTTGGATTTCTTACCTCCCTTATTCACAGGCTTATTCAGAGCCATATATGAAAAAAGTCCAATATTCAACACATAAAAAAAAGTGCATCATCTTTCATTCCTTACAATATCACACTTTACTGTTGTGTTCCTTTCCCTGATTATCCTTCTCAGGTGCTCAGGCATAAAATCTTGACCTCATCCTTTCCCTATGGCTTCCCATCTGCAGCAATCCTTGCCAGTAACTGGAACATGCAAAGTGCCAAGTAATTCTGAAATAGCAGAGTCAAACGAATGGTGCCAAATGACTAGAGCATACGATGTTCTCAGTTTCTCCAAATGTGACTCTCAGCCACCTGAGTCAGAATCAGAAATGAGATTTGTTTAAAATACAGGTTTTAGGTCATTATTCCAGAAAATCTGAGCCAGAATTTTTGGAAATGGGAACATGGACTAGATTTGCATTTTTCTTAAGCTCTCAGGGTCATTTTCATTGACACTTAAGATTAAGACTCCTTTCATTTCCCTCACCAACTGCATCTAGCTCAGTGGTTTTCAACCTTCTGGCCCTTTAAATACAGTTCCTCATGTTGTGACCTAACCATAAAATTATTTTCGTTGCTACTTCATAACTGTAATGTTGCTACTGTTATGAATCGTAATGTAAATATCTGATATGCAGAATGGTCTTAGGCGACCCCTGTGAAAGGGTCGTTCGACTGCCAAAGGGGTCATGACTCACAGGTTGAGCACCGCTGATCTAGATGTGTTACCTTTTTCACTCCCTAACATCTTTTTTATTAATCAACTCTTTATTCCCTGCTTCTCATAAGGAATCATTTTTGTATCACTAAATACACTGGCTTGCTTGTCTCCCGGCCCTATATACCTTCAGTTAAACTCTATACATTACAGCCATGGTAAAATTTCAAACTTAGATCTCTTTTAATATAACAAACAAATCTATTTTTCCCACAAAGATTCTCAGTCCTCAACAACAGGCAGTGTGACTGCAAATTATTGTTTTGTGTGTGTTGTTTTAGCAGAATACTATATTATTTATAAAGCATCATGAAACAATATTTTCAGTTGCATCACAGGAACTGGGAGCAAGTTTCCTGGGAGAAAATATTATATTTTGCTTGTGTAATATAATATTACAACTTTTGGTACATATGTCTATTTAAAAGATAAATTGTCAAACTAAGTATAATTGGTGTTTCTGATTTTTTCAATTAATAATGATAATACTTGTGCATTTACTTCTTTTCAGTTGGCTTGCACAAACTTGTACCAAGCACTCAAAATTTAAAACATGTAGGGAGAAAAATTATTAGGACATGAAATATAGATCAATTTACTTAAATTAATTTGCATACTGGAAAAAGACCACCGTTATTCTAATTTATCAGGGAACTCTGATAGCTGTCAGATACCAGTCTTTCATGGAAATATAATTAAAAACCATTGGCCTGCTGAGTAAAATCTAAATCCCACAGTGGTACTGAATGATAATTTTGTATATTAAGCATTGTGTACCAAGTATAGTGTTATCAAATGTTAAACAATTATCTTTGTTTTATCCTTACACACACAAAAAAATCCTTTGTTATTATTCCTACTAGAGGTCCGGTGCACGAAATTCTTGCACAGGTAGGGTCCCTAGGCCTGGCCGGCAATCAGGGCCATTCGGGGCCTTCCAGCTGCCGGCCTGGAACTTATTTCATTCCATGCCGCCCCCTGGTGGTCAGCGCACGTCATAGCAAGTGATCAAACTCCCAGTCTCCTGGTCGAACTCCTGAGGGGACACTTTGCATATTAGACTTTTATATATAGACTAGAGGCCCGGTGCATGAAATTCGTGTATGGGGGGGTCCCCTCAGCCCAGCCTGCACCCTTTCCAATCCAGGACCCTTGGGGGATGTCCGACTGCCACTTTAGGCCCTGGGATCGGGCCTAAACTGGTAGTCGGACATCCCTCTCACAATCCTGGACCGCTGGCTCCTAATCGCTCACCTGCCTGCCTGCCTGGTCTCCCCTAACTGCCCCCCGCCCCCGCCAGCCTGATCGCCCCTCACCACCTCTGCGTGCTGGCCTGATCACCCGTAACTTCCCCCCCCGCCGGCCTGGTTGCCCCTAACTGCCCCCGCTGCTGGCCAGGTCGCCCCCAACTGCCCCCCTCTGCTGGCCTGGTCGCCCCTAACTGCACCCCCTGCTGGCCTGGTCGCCCCATGCAGCCTGCTTGTTCAGTCGTTTGATCATCCCTCACTAACCCCCCTGCCGGCCTGGTCTTAGGCAGCCATCTTGTGAGGGTGTGAGGATCAATTTGCATATTACCTCTTTATTATATAGGATTTCATTTTTACAGTTAAGGAAACTGAGACACAGAGTAATCAATTTGGTGAAAACACACATGGGTGATAACAATAGAGCTGGGCAGTGAATCCAGACAGTTTAGCAGCAGAGGTGAGATATACCCTGCTACATTTTGTCTTCTCCTAATAAGGGTTTTCATGATTTGAGTCTAGCTTATTCTCAATCAAATAGTGCTAGAATAATGTTGCATAAATAATAATCTATAAGATCCAAGTGTCATATAGCAAATAAGCATTTACTTCTCTTATGTCTTTAGTCAAACTGGGATTGACTGATTTAAGCTTACCCTGTATAGGCTTGGTTCCAGACCACAGGTTTAGGTCAGTCTTACACCAGGCACCTCTCATTTTTCTGGGATTGGAAAACTATCTCGGTCATGTGCATCTCAAGTCTAAGATCAGAACTTCTGGGGCAGAGTGGATGAGGGGAAGGGGAATGCAGACTATGCATAAAAAGAAATGAGGAGCCATGTGTGTCGCTTTTTAAAAAACAAAAAACAAAACAAAACAAAAAAAAAAACAGCCCTAGCCGGTTTGGCTCATTGGGTAGAGAGTCAGTCTGTGGACTGAAGGGTCCTGGGTTTGATTCCAGTCAAGGGCACATGCCTGAGTTGCAAGCTCGATCCCCAGTAGGGGTCATGCAGGAGGCAGCCAATCAATGATTCTCATCATTGATGTTTCTTTCTCTCTTTCCCGCTCCCTCTCTGGAAATTAATAAAGATATATTAAAAAAATAAAAATAAATAAAAAACAAACAACAATGAAAATAATTGCTTACCCCAAAACCACATTTATCTCCTCTATGCCCTCTTCCACACACTCCCCTCCCACCTCATGCCTATGACATGAATCTCATTGGAGACAGGTTTGACACATGGCCACTTCTAGTTTAGGAACCAGGGAATTTTAATATTTAGATGGCTATAAACCAAATTGTGTTTATGTTAGTCAGGAAAAATAAGAACATTTACATTGATAGGCATTTCATTTTCATTTCATTCTAATAACGAACAAGGTTAAATATTCTCTGGGGTCAAAATTCCCTTTCTTGTCCAAGGTAAGAGGTTGGCTCAACTATAATGGTCACATTTAACAGAAGGAATCTCTTATACTTTTAAAGTGACAGAAAACTTCCACATCAGGGGACTGTTTGTTCAAAATGAAATTGAGTTAAATTCAGGAGAAATAATATGAATCAATCACAAACCTGGAGGCCAAGAGAATGTATACTGAAAGCTAGAATGTGAAGGCATAATTGGAATGTCAAAGAGACAACTAAAGAGTCAGAATAGCCCTAGCCAGTTTGGCTCAGTGGAAGGAGCGTCAGCCTGCATCCTGAAGGGTCATGGGTTTGATTCTGGTCAAGGGCATGTACCTGGGTTGCAGGCTTGATCCCCAGCCCTGGTTGGGTGTGTGCAAAGGCAACCAATTGATGTGTCTCTCTCACATCAATGTTTCTCCTTCTGTCTCT